GGCATCCCGTAAGACACGACTATCTGCATTAGACACTCCTAGTACGTAGGAGTAATTCAATTCTCTATTCATACACCAAGGACATTGACAAAAACATAACCTTTTCGATTATGATATCGAGGGTTAGGTGTGAAGGAACACGGACAGGAATATACGTGCCATTAAGTGCACCTAAGCATGTATAAAATTAAAATTCAAGTATTAACCATGTTATTCTGTGACAAATATATAATGTATTCGGAAACCATTATATTCAAATAACATGACCTTAAACCATTTCCATCTCCATTTAATATACGTTTCATCCACAGGGCTTGGTTGTACAACTAAAATAGGATGCAGTCGAAGAACGGCCTCAAGAAAATTATGGAATAATTTGCTAATTGTTTGTCCAGATCTTTTAAAATTAATTTCACGACCACAATTTTTTTTATCGTGGGCTAGCACACTTACAAAGATTGTAACTTGTTCACTTATTTGAACATGTCTGGTGTTCCGTAACCTACCAACGTGTTCCAACAAATATCATAACCTACCGAAGGCATTACGGTCCATACGAAGTTGTTGAACACAAGTTTCATCGCTAATGTCTATTAATTGTTTTATATGCTCAATTTGACTGGGAAGCCTCTTTGCCATTCGGTAAGTTGTTGGATGACACTTAATCCTACTGTTACGTACATTCTTCGAATGAACACCAATTTTAAGTAAATGTAAGCAAGAAAGAATACAATCTTCAAAAGATTCAAAATTTCTTCCACGACCAAAACGGCCTCCACATAATGGTTTTTAAAATTCATCCTCACTGTGGTAATCTAAGCATTGGATCGACAGATATGAGAGGGAATGCAAAAAATTTTATTCGTAATAGAGTATAACAGAAAACAAAGTAACAACTCAACAATAAATCAAATGTATTCCACAAGTAAACAAGAAAAGAAATACACAACTAAAATGTAGTGTATTTAAAACATAAACAGATGTATGGAGTACGATGCATACTGAAAACATGCAATGAAAGATATTTATTCCCAAAGCTGGAATAAATATAACATATTATGATAGGAGACATATTACCAATGGCATGTGTTATGGAGATGAAATTTTCTACTTCCTTTAGTCCTCCTAAATTACAACTGTAGACTCCCACAAACAAGATAAAGCTGCATAAACTAGAAATGGATATAGTTGAGATCAGGACCGATCAATATGTTGGAACACAGAAAATTAGCTATGCAAGTGTTCAAAATTTCTGAAATTCAAAAATTAATTACATTGCTACAATTACTTATGCTCTGCTATTGTAGTCTGTTCTTTTGACCAAGCAAACTTATGAACACTACAAATCCTTGATAATTAAGTGACAATATAAACAATCATGTAGTTGTATTCTAATCAACAATTCCCAATAGTTCAATTATAAAGAATCACCAAAGATATGTTGTTTATGAAGTTTAACAAACATTACATTATTATTATAGTAAGCAATGAAAAAAAAAAAAATAAACCAACACCACACAACAATTACACAATTGTGTGACGATACAATGCTTTATTTAATTACCATGGATGCAGAACAATGTAATATTTTTTTTAGGCAAATTTCAATTTAATTTCACCATACTTAAAGTGAACATCTTAAACATTACCTCAAAACTTAAAAAAATGGAGTTTACTATTTACGTTAAAACATACGTCATTGACTTTACCCATGGAATTCAAACGCAAAACACGAGAACACAATTGTGAAATAAAAGATGTGTCGGTTTGTGATTTCTATATTTTAAAGACATACGACTTCACTATGAAGGACCGTTCTTGAAGGGACAAAAGAAGAATTGTGGAGACAGGGTTGTTCAACACAACAGAGGGAGAACCAACTGGACTAAACAATTGTGTGGGTTGGATGTTGCCAGACAAAAATGCTTATGTCATTCCGAAATTCTGAAGATGTTCATCATATATAGAAAATTGAAAATTGTGAATGCACTATTTGGGTCAGGGTTTAGGGTATCAAAGATATATCAACAAAATACTTAAACTGAATCCGCCTACACATAACAATATAACACATGATGACAAATCTTAAGAAACCAGAGGAAAAAAAAAAGAAAAAAAATAAAAAAACGGAACAAAAAAACATTCTTTTGGATCGAAGGGACAACCATACTTGTTTGTTCTCGATCTCATCGTTTGTGTCGCGAAGT